TAACGGGGTGACTTTAGGGGCTGACATTAGCAAGGCTCCATTACATTGTGTCTTTATGTAAGACCAGTTAGCGAAGCATGTAACGAAGCTGGACGCGCCGCGTAACCGGATCGATCGGCAGTGCCCTCGCTCGCATTTATTTGGCACCGGTTCGTTTTTCTCATCAAGGGCGGAACAACGATCGCGCGACCGACAAACGCGTTAATTGTCGTAATGGAGCGAGCGTGTAAATTCGCATTTCCTCTCGTTAGTTTCGTGTCACTAAAATATTTCAAAAACATAGCTCGATAGTGTGCGTAATGGAGAGGGGCGGGGAAAGGATGGTGGGTCGAGAGATAATAGTCGACGACAACGGAAGTCGAGCAGCGGTAATTCACGTCGGCTTTGACTACGAAACGCCGCATTCCGTGGCAATCAAGGTGTTAAATATCTAATCTCTATCCTACGAAGGGCGTCTGATCCTATCGATCAGTTAATTACTGCACTATCCGCGCGCTCTGCCAAGGATACACGTGCGTTTAATCCACTTTAACAGGAGAGATGATGTATTTTCTTTTCAGCGAAAGAAATGTCTATCTATCAAAGTTTTATATTGTCAGTGTTACCCGATAAACTACATTTTTTCCCCTATCTCTCCCTCCCCCTATCGCACCCTCCTATCCCTCGAAAATAGCCGTGGGAAGGGCGGGCGAGAGCAAGATGCGAGAGTTTTACATCGTAGCTTGTTATTCCGTTGAAAGCCGCAGTACAAATGATGTTTTCAGGCCTGGGATTGGCCGCTGCATCGTGAAAAAGAGCCATAAATCAGGCCTCGGAGATTAGACAAAGGTCGTCGAAGACGAGTATCGTTTGTTAGTTGTGTAGTCCTCCAGTATGTAGTCTCGTATGCTACATACGTACACAAACGCGCGCGCGCGCGTGATTCGTTTCGGATGTAATCTACTTCGTCCGATTCTGTTATCCTTGCCGACTATAGACTATCGACTTTAACACAACGGCCTCCGTCGATCGTAACGACGGAGGTCGCTCCACAATTTATCCCCCCCCCCCCTCCTTCCCCTGGGTGTACATTGAGATTTTTGTCTTATCCAGCGTCGAGAGTCATCCGACGGAAACTTTACGCGACTTGCGCGTGCCCGTACTTCTTTACGTGCCGATCGAGATTATGTTTGCTCGGTCGCGTTTCCCCTTAATACGCGGTGCCTTGAAACGAGAGAGATGCATATGATGAAGGCGCGCTTAATTGCACTGCTAATTAGCGAATTCCAAGATGCCATGGGGAAGGTAATGTCGGCGCTCGTTACAGAATTTAACGTGAATTCAGGGTAACGTCAGGACATCGAGAGTTATCGCCGCAAAATGTCACGGTTTTCGGATCTCCAATTAGGCACGTGTTTGTTATCGTGCGAATCGTGACTTCGCGGCGTTTCGAGTTCGTGCTCAAGGGCCGCCGTAACGGGGCAATGTAAGAAGAAATCTAATTTCTAGGCGTTCGGCAACGGAAGTTGGACGGAAAGTTTCGGCTAATTAAGTCTCAAGAGTGCGAGGATGTACACACGGAGAAAAGAAAATGTAGTCGAATCAAGGAAATTTTGCTTGAACGAACGCAATTCTTTCAAGCGCAACGTTTAGTCCACCGAGCGAATTATATAATTCCTGTAGTGAATTATCAGTTGATCCAGCGATTGCGATTTCGTTAGCAATTATATTCAACGTAACGTATTGTTGCGCCAACGCGTAATTTGTTCAGTGGACATTTCTTTGAACCAGAACGACCGCCGATTTTGTAAATTCAACCCCTTACTTTTTCTCAATGCGAGTAATGTCCCATCTTTCAAACAGACTTTACATTCAACTAGACTTCGCCCTGTTCGAAACTCGGTCTAGAATCTACCCAACTTCAATACAACTTCATTGAAACGTCTCGCAGACCCGCACAAACCGCACGATAGTTCTCGAACACTCCGCAAACGTTAAAAACATTGACAAAAAAATCTGGTGAAGTTTCATCAGTCTCGAACTTCTCCGCATATATTTGCACCGTGCAATGTGTGCACCGCGTACAATACGGTTAACATTGTTTCGAGTTTTGCAAGTGGTTTGGGTCGACAGGAAGATCTCCGTGAAACCATGCGAATCTTCATTTGTATCTTTACCTACAGTAGTAACCGTTTCATCTTGAAGTGCAAAAGAACCGCGGGCTTTAAAACCTTGTTTATATCGACTAAGCTCAGTCGGATTACATTGTCTTGCTGTGCAAACGGCAGACAATGCAGCCTCACGTCGTTGATCCGAAATCGATTTTACGCGATCTCGTTGCAGTGTAATTATAGGAATCGCCGAGTGCCGACTTCACGGCTGAACGGCGCGCGGTGATCGGAAACGCTCGCACGTCATCAACTGTAATATCAAATGTTACTAATCGCACGAACATCACGAGTCCTGCGTGATCACAGCCCCATCACGTAGCTGTGGATTCTTCCAGCGACTCTCGCGCTCGATTTCTTCCCCGGGAGAACTTTGCTTTACGCATGTTTTATTTACCGACTGCTATTTTTACCTTTCTTTATTTTCGATGATATTTCGGTAAGGGAGCTTCGAGATAAAGATTCAACGCATATTTGCGATTGAACATGGAACGAGCTCTCTGTATTTTTCATTCCCGAGAAACGAGGTTCTCTTTCACAAAAATTCACTCTCGTCGCTCTTGCAATCACAGGGCGACCTACATTTTAATATTTGCTTTAAGGAGATGCTGCATTTTGAATAAATAATAGAAACGAAACTTCCAAATATTACAAAATATTATTCTTTTTATTGCGTGTGCCAAAAGTCCGTTGTTGTTAGCGCACCGCGAGCGTGCGTCGAATAATGGTAATTGGTATTTTATTCGCGAGGCTATATATGTATGTTATGCTACATAAGTACTTTATCGTACCGTTCTGGCCGGCCAGATTCGCAAGTTCACGTTTGATAGCAGCAATATGGATATTGATTCGCTATTTTATTACTACTAACTCGATAAGAGCGCAAAGTCGGTCGGGAATCGCGACGAAAAAGGCGACACGACGAGTGCGAGCGTGCGTACATTCGGATTAGCTTTTTCCCGCGTCGAGTGTGCGGCACACGGAAACAAGGAAGCTAGTAGAGATTGAGTTAAATTACGTTGGAATTAGGTAAACTCTCCTTGGGGGGTCTCTACCGAGAAACGGACGATAGGTACACAGCGTGAAACTGGCTTTGACCGTGTTTGCGGGATTCGGTAAATAAACGACGGATGCTCAAACGAAACGTAAAGTACGTACATCGTCCGGTCGAGCGTCAAAGTACGCTCGTACAAACGACGATCATAAATTATGAAACCATTGTGTATACTCGCTATCGTTGATTGGCTAATCTGTACTTCAGCGATTATAATGCTCTAAAGCGAAACGTTTCTCTCTCTCTCTCTCTCTCTCCTCCTGTTTCTGGCATATTATGCGTGAGTCAACAAATAAGCATGGCTATTACTTCAATTTCATTAAACTATTTCCACATCAACTGGGCGATAAATGTTAAATCAGCTGGGCGTCAATATTATTTTCGACAAATCAGATACATGAGAATGTAAAGATCGAGAGATTCTCGAGACGCGGGTCTGCTATCTTCATAAAATCCTATTTTCGCGTTCAAGATATTCTTCTTCCTTCAAGATATTATTCTTACTTCAAGATATCACACGGAAAGAAACAATAATACGTATGTCCGCCTTCTCATATTTCGTCATATTTCTTATATTTCCTCTTCTCGTACGTGTAATGTTACATATACTTTTCAATTACATGAAATCGTTATCTCTTTTCTCGATGGGGGAAATCGTGCAAATTCGTTTGTTTGTTCACAATGACAATTTCGATTTCGAGGATTCGCGATTGAAGAATTATGGAAATTCTCGTGTAAAACATCGATAACGCGCAATTGTTCAGCTCCGAGCTGGACTTTAAGCGCGATTCGCCGGAACTCTTAACCGGAATGCTATTTACGGGGCGGGGAGCTTGCGAAACCCTTTGACGTATTAAACATTAAAGGCAAATTCCTATTTAATTTTAATATCAGATCATTCGGCATTGCCCGCTTAACACGTTCACGCCGGGGTCGATTTTCATGTTTTTCGCTGTGAGGCGGCGCTCGAATTCATGCTGCGCTTCATCTGGCGGCGCCATTCAAATTTCAATTATTTAAATTTTCAACTATACGGCAATTTTTTCCAGTTACTAAACGAACTATATTTTTGATGGTGAGCGATGTCTAAACGAATGTTCAAGCGTGACCCACCGGTGATGCACGCCGCCCGATGGCTCAGTATCGTGTGACCCACCGGTGATGCACGCCGCCAGATGGGACAGTCGAGCGTGACCCACCGGTGATGCACCCCGTCGTGAACGTGTTAAGCGGCTAAAGCGGATTCATTTTGTCCGCGCGCTCAAAGATTATAATTAATAATTATAAATTATAATAATAACGGAGCGCGTTCCGAGGAGCGCGCGTGCGGCGTACGCTGAACTGCCGTTTCGCCGGAATGAAACGCACGTCCGAGACCAAACGCGATCGCTGAAAAATGGCGGGAGCTAATTGGAAAGTACACGCGGCGATATACGTCGAGCGGATCAGCCTCGATTATTGCGACTCTCCGATAACAACTCGCGGCGAGTCTCTCGTCCGCGATCTGCTCTACTTACGAGCGCTGCCTTTACGAGAGGTGCCGAGGTATCGAGGTATTACCCGTTACGATCGTCAACTCAGCAGATCACATCGTCGTCATCGTACATAAAAGTCGAGCGGACCCGCTATAAACGCGCCAAAATCGCGCGTTTACGACCGCATCGATCTTCACCGCGCGCTCAAGAACAACCGAGAGGAGTCGCTCGGCTTTTTTCCGTTCCCTTTTTTTCTCTCTATCGGCGTACAGTGCAAACGATCCGGTCACAATTCCGCAGGTGCTCGCAGCGGAGTGCTCTTACTTTGAGAACTCGAGTAGGCCGGAGGCCCACACACCGGGAATCGTACACCGTCAATCCGTCACCCTCCGATAATCATCATCGATACGACGTCGATCGGAGACGTCGGAGGACGCGCTTCTGCTCCGTTTCCGAGCCAAGATACCGGTGTATTCTCGGGGTGAATTCGGATTTCTCGATGCTGCGCAAAAACCGCTCACGAAAAACCGACCCGCGTATTTATTCGGGAACAGAACGATCGGCATTCCCGGATCGGCGGGTCCCTTTCCGCGCGCGTTTCAAGAAATCCTCGGAAACTCGTCTCACCGAGCGATCGCACCAGTACCGATCTTCGACTTGTGCCCTTGAGCGACGAGCTCTCGCGTTTTCTCTTTCTTTTTTAATCTTTCTTCCTCTTTTCAAGACGACATCGTTGAAAAACGCTCTAACACACGACCGTATTCTCGCGCGCGTTCCGTCTCATTGAAGGAAACCATGAACGGAGCGAATCGTTTTAGGCCGTGAGAAAGTGATAGGACTCGACGTCGCGCCCGACGTCCGTCGTGCAGCACGGCTCGCCGTCTACTAACGCGCTCGACGCCAGGCGTCGCGACGCGTAGGGCGTACCTCGTCGGCGGCGCGCCTCTCCGCGCTCTCTCGCTGATGTGGCAATTGACAGCCGCGCGGTACTCGTAAAAACGCCGTGTTTTTTCACCCCGGAGTATCGACGCATCTGTCATAAATTATATCGCGACGGACTGTCGCAACCGCGGTACGTGCTCGCGGTACTTACGAGCCGTTGGACAAATGATTTCCGCCTACCTGCAAACTACGCCGGAACGGCCGCAATAACGGGACGAACGCGTGATGACGAGCGATCCATTGTACGCTATTGTCAGTGCCGGCCGCGATTTTGTCGAATTTTCGCCCCTTTATTCCGCCGTTGTCGCCGTCGTCACGACACGGGGGATTAATCAGCCGACAAGGCGGACGTCATCGACGCGACTTTGACGAATTTCCGCGGTTACGCGATTATTCTGCGCGTCGCATTACGTTATACACGTATACATCGGGGTCCTGAAATTCGACACGCGATCCTTACGGTGGTTCCGCGTCCATTTTTAGCCGTCTTCACGCCGTCAGCCCTTCCATATTTAATATGCGATGCAGTGATATAAATTATTTCCGTTAAAATGCAAATTACGGGCTATTTGTATAATCCCCGGGCGCGATTAACATTTTAGTTGCGCATAAATAATACGATCATAAATTATGCATCGCTAATAGCGTGTTTGTCGGGATTGATTAATATTGCCTTTTTCGACTTTCGAATTAATAAAGATGCTAAACCAGCGTGGAATGATCGGGTGGTTAATCGCCAGGTCGGGAAGCACTTAGCGGTTAGTAAACGGGGAAACGGGAGAATGATGCCCGTTGATCTTCATCAGCGGGCTTCATGTCGGCGATGTTGCACGCGTGCGATTCACGGAATCGCGTATCATTTCGGATACCCAACCCCGACGCGTTGATAACGAACGCCTTTTTCTCGATCTTAATTACGCCGCTGTTTGAAACTCGCTCTCGCGTCGTGAGGCTGGAGATACCGCGAATTTTACGAGCGATTGATAGAGGGATTTTCGCGACTTTTTGATTTCCAACGTTGCAGAGGCGTGCGAGGTTCGAGGTCACGTGTGGCGGATCGCGTGCCGAGCAATAATATCACTATTACCGCCGGGGAATATCACGTGTTGGCGGTAAATCGGGTTTTCGGAGTTTTCTGAACTCCTCTGCCCCTGGATATTTATTGATCCGTAAGGGCACATAAAGTGTTCCGCTTTCGGAGGTGTTCGGCGAATCGCGAGAAAGAAGCGTTTTTGCACATTAAACATTTCTTAGAAATTCTTTGACGAATCTAGGATCGGAACGTTCCCAATGCGCGAGAGAACCCGCCGGTAACAGTATCTGAAATTCAGTTTGATCGTCTGCGACCAATGGATGTTTAACGCGTTAATTAAATTTCGAATTATATCATCCGCCGTATATGGAGGGGAAAACAAGGTTCCGTTGTCTATCTGCGGAATGTAATTTGCGAGCAATCTTTATGTCGAATATTAAATAGTTCTGGCACTCGACGTTCCAGTAAGATATTTCCTTAGCAGTATTTTTTCGAGGTAAAAACTAACGTTGAATTCTTTCCCCCGGAGAATCCGAGGGAATTCGTTGCTTAATATTACCCTGTGTAACGAACGATACATTCGCCGCTGTGTTTATTGACATTTACTAAAAGTATACTAAAAATATATTTCGGTGATAAAAAGAATTCTTGAATACATAAGGAAATATTAATTATTAAATGAAGAAAAGGAATAATATTTATTAGATGCATTTATTAGCGTTTCTACATTAGGTATTGCATATTTACATATTTCGACCGTCGTTTGCACTCGCTACATTGTAGTTAAGGCTGTGAATATTTGCTACGTCGAGCGTTTTTTTAAATCACCAAGCAATATTCGACGAAAATGAAAACTATTATTTTTAATGAGCAAAAAATGCAGCAATTCGACGCTGAGCTTGCAACAGTTATTTTTACTCCTTATTGGCCGGAGTTAGCATAAAATGGTGTTATTTCAACGAGACGCTTCATGCTGCGTTAGTTACATTGAATACGAAAAATAAGAAAGGATCACCGTTACACGATGGGCAATAAACTTGGTCAAAAGTCATCGTGTAATCGAATGCAGCGATAGTACAGAGACGTCGTACGTTTGTGCATTCAGCGTAAATAGGACAAAAGTAGGTGAGGCATAAAACTGACAATATAGAACGCTCCTCCCGCTGCCGTATCGATAAAGAAGGAGAATTTGATTCGCGTGCTTTCCGTGTGTATGAATAAAACGATCCTTTATGAAATCTATGCCAATGAAAATCAAATATTCAAGCCTATATATTTTCTCATGCTGAAAATTCGATAGAAGTGAAAGATTTCAAGGCGTATAAATTGCTGATTCCAAAATTAATTAAAGAATTCGGAGAACGCGTCAAAGAGAGCGATGTATTTTCTGCTAATCCGAGATTTGCGCCAATTTCAAATTAGCACGCCGTATAATTATATTAATAACGCGTACGCAGACATCGTTCTTGCAGAATCGCACGATGACTTTGACAGGAACAGCGATGGACGTCGTATCGGAGTTTCGAGCATGTGTCGAACCGTTACTCGATTATTCAGGTATGAGACATAATATCTGTTCTCTAACGAGGCGTAGCTCCGACAATCAGCGAATTGTTGCAAATTACATAGTCATGCGAGACTTATCTTACTCTACTAGAATCAGATTTGCACCACGTAGGAAGATAATTTCGGATTTATTCACGCACGGAGATTTATTCGAGAAATGACGGGGCAAATTTCCAATTCCCAGATGAATGTTGAAATAAAAATTTGTCGAATGACTTTCTCTTAGATTGTTATAATCCCCCTTAGGGAAATATCTCTTTCATCGTGGGGCAAAATTTCACCTTCGCAACGTAATGTCGTCGAAAGTATGTAATCTGACTCAAATCTCTTGGATCTGTCATAATTACCATTAATCGGCGATTACCTACCGCCTAACGCGATTCTCGCGTTCTTCGCTCCTCGACGTGTGAAGTCGACTCACCTCCGTGAAACTCTTCTTCGATCGATCGTTGTTTTTCGTTTCACTTTGGATCGTAACGCGGAGTAGATAAACGAATTTAGCGCGAAGTTCTCGGCGACTCGATCGACAGTCTTTCGAAACTTCGACGCTTCTTCAAGCAGTGAATTATTACTGCCAATACGCCGAGCGCTTATTCTTCTATTAGATTTTATTGTCTCGCTATTTGCCGGCGTCACGCGAGAAGTTGACGTGGCTGTTAGGATTTTAATTAGAAATTTGCACGTGGGCAATCGGCGTTTCCATGCTTATCGCGGAATATTCCCGCGGTCGATGCCGCGGACGAGCGTTTCTTCCCGCTCGGAAAGTGGGCTACGTGCCACGATCATGCGAGTAACTCGCACAAGGACAAAGGTGACGGTTATCGATAGAACGTCAGTCGAGCCCCGATCGAGTTTCATTGCTGCAGTTCGCACCGCGATCTTGCAACTTAGAATTCATCGCGGCCTTTGGAAGAAATATTTTACCACTGACGCCTCGCTGCTGCGGAAACCGCGAAACTCCTGAATCGAAGGGGGCGAATGTATTTCCGGTCCGTTGCGTATCGCTGAATGCTTTGAGGGCCTTTTAAAGCATTCACAGGTTTGGAGATGGCTGTATTCGCAGATTTCAGCTTTTCCCTTTTTTCGTTCGGGAGATCTTTAATCAAGGACTTGAGGTGGTTGTATCGCAGAGTGCCGTATTTTCAGTGGCGCATCAAGAGGGTCACTCATAAATTTAATATTTATTAAGTAAAATTACGTTCCCATATATTTGTTTCACTGTCTAAATGATAAAATTTAATTTAAAAGTTAATTTGAAATGAAATTGAGATCTATCAGAGTGGGACAATAACTTTGTCTACCTGGAGTATTTTCGCTATTTTTAGGGATATGAAAATACTTTAATTACGAAAGTTATAGTATCAAGAAGGTCATTCTATGCTAGTAATATTTTTTCTGTGGATGGAGGCGTTTCGGAGATTTCAATATCACCTCCATTTCTTAAGTGGCGTGCTATACTTCTTTTATCGTTAATGCCCATATAATATAGAGAAACTTGCAGCAACATTGCAACATTGCAGAACATTTGCTGGTGCATCCATACAGAAGCTTGCAGTAATATTACTGCTGCGGATGTTCAGATGATTTCAACGACTTATAGTACCAGGTTCAGCATTAAATAAAAGATTAAAATAATACGTCGTAAGAAGTGCTCTAAGTCCGTTTGTATCGATGCAACATTGCAATCATAATTACATAATAAATTATATACATTATATATAAGTTTCAACGAATTTTTAAAAAAGTTATATTGGGCTACAACTATCTTAAAATATCTGTTCGATTGCTCGAGTCTTTCCCGTGGAATAAGAATAATTACTGCGCGGAAGAGGTGAAGAAACTTCAAAATTTAAAGTGGACAAATTAAAAATGTTTAGAAATTAAAAATTGTTAAAATCGATCCTCCGATAGAGTTCCGACATAGCGATGACGCGCGAAAACGCGCGATGATTATCATATCTTTCATTAAGCGACGAATAATTACGAATAATTACTAGCGACGTCTCCCGCGAGAAGCTCCGATTGAATATTCAGGATTTGCATGAAAAGCTTAATGAAAGCCCGTGGTTTTCTTGTCGGTGCCCCATCGTCGCATAATTAGAATCGAATGTGTCTTTCCATTCGCATTTTCTTCGCTTCTTCGTTCCCGCGACGCGTTAGGGAATTAAAACCGTTGCCTCCGTCTTTGAACGTCGTTTGTATTCTTTGCGACGGTGCGAAGTGATTCGTGATTTTCCCCCGGCAATTTCCAACGCTCAGTATTACAGCCGCATGAACAACACCGACGATTCATGGCCCAGGTGTTTCCAACTAATTACAGATTCCT